AACCTTTCCCTCCTGCAGGCTTCTTCTGAGTGCTGGGGTTGAGAGGCCCCAGGATTTCTGGGCCAGGAATGAGTCAGTGATGGCAGAGGACTCAAAGTGCTGAGATGGATCCACCTCAGGCAAGTGATGCTGGCCTGGGCTTCCCTGCATGCAGCTCTGCCATGTCTTCCTCTTTTTCTCCATCCCAACTCGCTCCAATTGCTTCAGGAAGGTGGGCTGGATTGCAGGGTTTCAATTCTCTTCCTCATGCCATTGCCTTGTGGGAAATTGCATGACCTCCTTGGGCTCCTCCCACTGGGCCATATCTGCACATCTGCAAACCGTGCTGGCAGCTCATCTGGAGCCTTGTCCTGCTCGGAGCACTGCAGCCTTGATCTGCCAGAAAGGTCCCTAGTGTCTCCTCAGTCAGCTCCACAAGGCCTCAGCCCCTGCCTCTCCAGCCATGTGTGTGCATGAGCATGAGTGATGAGTGCATACCTGTACCTGAAGTGTGCGTGGCCAGGAGTGGCCAGAAAGAAGGTATGACTGCAAGTCTCTAGGTGGAAAACAGCAGGAAATGCAACACACAGGGAACCTGTGGATTCTTTCATCCTGGGAACAACTGGGCCAAGCAAGACACTGTGCTGAAGAATGCTATGGTTGGGACATTCCTACCAGCAACAGCATCCAAATCCAGCCCTGCCATCATTCCCCAAATGCATCCTCACCTGACACCTCCCAACAGCAGCCCTTCTGCACTGTTGAGGCTTGGCTGAAGTGCAGGAGATCTGACTGCAGGTGCACAAAGCCTGGGGAATGCAGGGGAATTTCAGTATCAGTTTACATCTCCCCACAGGGAGAAACACACACTTGCCATGCTTTGAAAATCTTTCCCTCAAAAACATGCCTAAACCAAATGCTTTGGCAGTTGCCAGATTCAACTGTTCCTTTGCATACATTACATCTTCTTGTTTCTCTTACCCAGATACAACCACTGCTATGTCCAGTTAGCTTTTGCCACTGCTCTTGGATTAAGAAGAAGCCACCCTTCTTCCTCAGAAGCAGGGAAGGACACTAAAGGATGCAGCAAACATTTAATGGGTCTGAAGAAGGAAATAAAATCACTCCCAGAGTAGACACTGAGTGTGGGGAGCAGCAGGAGCAGACAAGAATCATTCCTACAGCAGTGTTGCTTCAGGGCCCATATTTCCTGGCCAAGAATTGTAGAGAGGCAAGCAGGTCACTTGAGGCTGGTTTTGAGGGGTGCTAGTAGAGATCTCTGAGGGGAAAGAACAACAAGAATATTTTCTGAGAAGGTCCAATTGAATGCAAAATATCGCAGGCATAGGCAGCACATTGTTTACCTGTGCTGTTCACTTTCATTTCCAGCTTTATGCTACGTTCAGTCCTTGCTGAAGGCACCTTACAATGGCTGAAAGAGAGACTCAAGTATTTCTGGACAACATAAATCCGTTTGGACAAAAGATTCAGCTCCTGCACTGGAAGAGTCCAGCAAAGACAATGTCATGTCATGTTGAGTCACTCTGTAGGGGCTCCTTGGGGCCCTTCTGGCAAAAAGTAGCCCAGTTCTTGGGTGTGACTTTATTCCACTTCATGCTGCTCTCAGGAAAATTCTGCTAGCCTCTTTTGCCTCCTCCTTTTTTGCCCTGGGGGGAGAATACGGGAGCAGAAGTTGTTCAGGATCTTTTCCAGGTCCCCAAAGAAAGGCAGAACAACAAAGTGTGAAATTAAGTGTTGGATTTATTAAGATACAATGGGAAGAGGTCTAGTGTCAGAAAATACATCACAGCTTCATTCTGGTGCTGGGAACCCCATCTTTGTTCTGCATCAGACACAACCAGTAGATTTACCCAAATCACACTGTGCAGAACATTTCCATAGAGAGCTCCATCTTCTCCATCTATGATGGAACTCTGTTTCTGACATTTACCCTCTGGCACACAGAGCACAGCTGGGCATGGTGCACTCAGGCTGATTCCATTACTGCAGTTCCTCAGGGATAATAGAAGGGCTCCTCTGAAGGGAACTGTTGTTGTGCGGACTTCGTGACTGGCCTGAAAGGGTCAGTAACGTGTTACAGTGTTTCATCCTGAAAGGGATGGATACCTCTAGCAATAACAACAGTGACCCTGAAAGGGATGGATACTTCTAGCAAAAACAACAGTGACTGATTGGCAAAGGAAGAAAGAACTCATGTTTCGGTAAGCAGAACACAAGAAACTAGGATAAGGGAGTACAAGAACAGCTTGCTTTGTGCTTTGTTTCACACTTGCTAATTATTTACGATGTTGTAGTGTATCTAGTCTATAAAAAGAATGAGCCTTCAATAAACATTGCTTTTGTGCCATCAGAGCCTAAGCCCGTCTGTCCCAGCTGTCTTGAGCTGGTCTCCGTCACTCCTCAATTCCTAAATGCAAGGCTTGTCTAGTCAAGGTCAATGGCTTCAAAGTTTTTTGCTAGGCTCCCACTACAATTCCCTCTCTTCACAGTCTCTCTCTGTACCACACATCACTAGGAACGCTGTTAGGCCACTGTCCTAAACTGAAATTTCTCTCGAATTTCTCCTGAATGGGGTTCTCAGATGACTGCATCATATCCCATGCATCTGAACGTTGTTTCCTCTTGTGAGCACTTGCCTCTATTGTGTCTGACAGGGATGCAAACTCCTCTGGTTGAGGAGAATGTATACTCATTGGTCTGTGAGGTAGTGGAAATGGTGAGAAGCAAAATGGAAAACACTGGAATACTGAATGCTTCTTTTCCTCAGTTCCCATGAATAAGACTCATCCCCAGGCCTCCCAGTTCCCTGAATCTCTTCTCAGAGTTTTGGAGAGTGGAACATTATTCCCTATAAGGGAGAAATCCTTACGGAAATCTTGTTCCAGTTGAACATACTTGTGTCCATGAGTTGAAGATGTAGCTACAAAAAAAAAAAAAAAAAAACATGCATCTGAAACATGTAGAAGAACCGAGAAAGGGAACTCAGGGAATTACTGACCAACTGCACTCCATTTGCTCCTTCTTCAGATATGTCCCTTGAAGCAGATGTTGTACATGGCATTAAGAGACACCCGAAAGACAGCGAGGCGGTTTGGAGCAGCCCGGGGCGGAGCTGGCGGCGGCGGCGGCGGGGAGGAGGAGGCGGCGCGGGTGGAGCAGAGCCGGGGCTGGCGGGGGCAGCGCGGCGCGGGCTGCGCAGCGGCGGGATGCGGCAGTGCCGGGCCGCGGGGCTGCTGGGTGCGCGGGGCAGCACTGCGGGGCTGCGGGGGGTTGAGGGGCCTCGAACGCCTCTGGACGATTGGCATCTTTCTGACCTCGTGCACCTCTCTCCTCCTGCATGAAATTTCAGGGAGAGAAAATGGATTTTCTGAGTTTGCTGCTGCTTCTCTTCTCGGCAGTGGCTGTGAGCAGAGCCCAGGTGCAGCAGGAGCCAGCGGCAGAGACCAGCGAGGGCACCGGCATCAACATCACCTGCTCACACCCCAACATACAGTCATATGAATACATCCACTGGTACCGTCAGCTCCGGGGCCGAGGACTCGTATTCATCGTCAGCACAGCTAAAGACTCCAAGGAGGTGCCGGACCCGGAGGGGCAGCTGTGGGTGTCGGCAGACCGCCGCTCCAGCGCCCTGTGTCTCGCCCGGCCCCGGCTCGGGGACGCGGCGCTGTATTACTGCGCCGTGGGCGCACGGGAAGCGAAGCCGGGGCTGCGGCCGGGCACGAACCGCTTGGGGCGGGGCGGGGGCACAGTGCCGTCCGGGCCCGCAGGGGGCGCTGCCGCTCCTCCCTCCCGGCGCCGCCGAGCTGGCAGTGCTGACATGGAACGCGTCCCTCGCACCGCTCGGCATCCTCCGGAGAAAGGCGTTCCAGCTGCACACCCTCATGAACACGGCATGTCGAGGTCACAGACACTTTCAAGCGATCCCCACAGTAGCTCTATTCTCAGGCGAAGTGATTGTGTGAGGGGATTCAGGGCCGCTGGCAGTGAGGTGCAGTTTCAGCAGAGGCCACTCTAAGCTGTGTTTCCTGTGAGGGCTACTGGCTCATCTGTGGATCAAGTCACTTATCAGCTTAAAGGAAACCACAAATAAAAAGAAACCGACAAACAAAGTATAGAATGACCCCAGTCTGTAATGAAAAAGGGAGACAAGGACAGAGATCAGAACTCTTCAGCCCCCAACTGATGGACATATAGGGAAGTATGGTTCTTAGACTTGAAGTTATTGAGCCTGAGCTTTGTGAGTCACGTGCAATAAGATGAAAAGAAAGAGAAGGAATGCTCTTGAGGGACTCGTGGGGCTATGCAGACATTTTAATGAATGTTTATATAAAGGTCAAAGGTGTCACAAAAAGGTTGCAGAAAGGAACAAGGTGATGCAGTGCAGAGCAGGGAGGTCACAAATTTCCAGTCAGTACACCTGCTGGGATGAGCCCTATGCCTGAGCACCACTGCCCAACCTGTCTCCTTAATAAGCCCTGACTTGGCTGTGCAGCGCTGAAATAAACTGTGCTCTCTTTCTCATGTGGGAGCACCTCAAGGTCGAGGCCAGTAGATGCTGAGACTGCTGTGCAGGAGAGATCTGGGTGCCAGCAACCAAAACAACATCCACAGCACATCAGGATTAAACCAGTGACCGGAAGGAGAGTATTCAAGTCTGGGAGAGAGGTGGGTAAGGAAACACAAAGCCTGGGAGAACAGGTTCAGCAGGCTGAGATCCCATGGCAATGTCTGAGGGATCAGCACGAGTGTGGGGATGTGTGTGAGAGGAGTGGGTGACTGCACGCATCTGTTGGCCAGCAAACAGCAGGCTGGCCAATCCTGAGCAAAGGAGGAGACCACATGCAGGGTAAGGGATGCCAGGCTCCAGGCAGGGGTATTGGATGAGCTGAGGGCCCGTGCTCACACTGATGGGCTGTGATTGTGGGAGTGCTTGTGAGCCAGTGGGTGAAGGTGTGTGCTTGCACTGGGGAACTGCAGTCCTGATTAGCCTGAGAGGAGGAACAGGGCTTGGCTCTGAGCTTCGGGCTTATAAGAGAACTGGTGTTGTTACCTGTGGGTGTTGCTATGGCAGTGAGTGCCCTGCCTGTGCAGCCAGCAGAGTCATTTCCGGCAGCTCTGTCGTCTTGGGGCTGGGAGGTGGTTTTCTGCCTCTTGCTCACTCACAAACAGGAGGCTCGGTCTCAGCATGCACCGCAGCTCTCTCGTCCTCACTGCCTTCCTGGGACAACTGCTGGGTAAGTGCTGGCTTTTAGTCAAGGCACCCATCTTCTCCCCACAAAGCGCTCACCAGCCTCACTGGGCTTTGTGGCAAACAGCTCCTGGGTAACAATAAACCTTGGGCAAATGCTGACTGACTGTTGTTCTCCTGGTTGTCAGCACAGCCAGAGATCACACTTGTCACCCTTCAGTTTAGCTCTGTTTATACTGAGAGACTTAGGAGCCCTTTATGTTGACAGGACTGGAGAAACACAATGCATCTTTTCCCAGAAGCTCCATGGGTCGCTCACCCTCCACAGCCACAACAGAATGCCCCCTGTTCCTCTCAGCAGGGGCACAGCACAGGATCTGCTCGGGACCAGAAGCTCAGAGCTCTTCCAAAACCACCTTCATATGCCCAGACCTCAACAGCTTTCTGCTGGACAAAGGACAGGGAGCCTTCTCTCCTGCTGTTTTGTATCCATTCCGTGTCAGCAGCCTGGAACCTTCCCTGCAGAGCTGCTCACCTTTGCTTTCTTCTTCCAGGTGCCGTGGGGCAGACCATTGTCAGCCAGCAAGAAGGACAGGTCACAGTGCAGGAGAGAAACACCTTCCAGACCACCTGCACATACCAGGCAGCTAACATTTATGGCTTATTTTGGTACCAGCAGAAGAAAGGCCAAGCTCCCCAGCTGGTCACATATCAGGCAGCAGCAGGCTCCAAGCAGAACGGCCGTTTCACCACGTGGCTGAACACCACCGGGAAATACAGCCTGCTGCGGCTGGCAGAAGTCGAGCTGTCTGACAGCGCCTTGTACCTCTGTGCTGTGCAGGACACCCTGGTGCAGGGAGCTTCCTTGGCCGTGCAACAACCCCAGGGAGGGAGGAGGTGTGTGTGCTGGAGGCGGAGCTCTGGGGAAGGGGCCCTCAGCTCTCCTGGCAGCGCTGCTTCCCTGAGCACACAGAGATCTGCAGCCCAGCGTCCTCTTCCAGAAGGGACAGATGGCTGTGGCTTGAGAGGAATGAAAAGTGATGTTAGAGACCCTCATCTGGGACTCCTCTCCATCAATTTTTGCATGGGCTGTGCAGAGACCAGATGCTGCATTGTGATTTGTGTGCTCTGCTGTGCACTGAGGGCTTTAAGCAGGTGGTCTGAAACTCATCTGAGCTTTGCAGTCCCAAGCAGATTGCTTCTTTGTTCTTGACACTTGCCCAAATTCCCTGCAGGCCTTCCCAGAGTGGCCTCCTTTCTGGAGAGCTAAATGGTGCTATTGCACTTCTTTAAGAATTTCCTTCCCTGTAGAAATCTCAGGGTTGGGAGGAGCAGAGAAGATGATGCATGGTTTTCTAGTAGTAATTCTTCCATACGAATGCTTTCCATGTCATGAAATCCTCACATTATCATGTGCAGTCCAGGGCTGCCTTTCAATCCTAGCAACTTGAGATTACTATTAAAAAGATCGCATGGAGGCTGGGACTGGGATGCAGGTAACATCAGTGACACTGAAGAGGGAAATGAGTTTTCTTCCACAGGGCCGTGTTGTGTGGGCAGCACCAGAGCTGCCAAAAATCTGTGCACATCCCCCCCTGGTCAAGATTTAAAAATGCAATCCTTGTGTTGGTCCCATATCACTCAGGTTGGCTATGGGGAAATTATACAGCCAAAAGAAGGGAATACAAGGAAAAGAGAGAAAAGGGTAGAAAATGGGGAATTGAGCATGGTGGGCACCTTCTGCCATCGTAGTGTCCGGAAATTCGGAAGAGATCAAAGCACGCAGAAGTGATGGAGACTCCACCACAGCTGAGGATGCTGTCAATTGCTGCAGAGGTGGAGGTTCCCACAGAGGTGTTCTGTAGGTATGCACTGATGTTGAGGCCAAGCAGGGCTGCAATCATGGGGAGGGATTAATGATGACAGTATGGTTTTTACTGTGCCTGACACAGGGCTGCTTTCAGGTGATGGCTGGTGAGGTCGAACCATTGGATGGGCATGGCACCCACTGTTCGTAGCAGGGCATGTCTCAGAGAGCTAAGAGGATTTCTTGACTTGATCCAGAGAGGAGAGGACACTTTTGTTGTTGGTATGATGGCCCTGCACTGCTCTAGACATGGGAGTGCTATAGACAAAAGAGACCATGCTCTGTAGCCCATGTAATGAATGGAAAACATCCCAGCTAATGATACGGGCTGTGTGGCTGTTTCCACTTACGCTGCCTTTTCATTTTCTGGACTCTGTTACACCCATTCCCTCACAGAAGCTTCTTCGGAGTATTAGCATTGAGAGGACCAAGGATTTCTGAGCCAAGTATGAGTCAGAAGAAAAAGTCAGGAACAAGAAAAATTCTATACTTGAGACTATAATTTGTATTTTTCTTCCAGGATCGCTCTTGAGGTAAAGAATGGGTGAATGGATGCCTGAGAAGGATGAACAAATCTTTGTACACCTGTGTCTGTGGAAGAAGTGAGAGAGAGAGGAGATGGAGAGAGATTGATTCCAGCAGTGATCAGCAGAGGCCATGAGAGCACCACGTAAACCAGGAAATGGCATCCTGTGTGAAGTCTGCTGCTGTTCTTATTGAGCTGGAAAACCTCCCTCTGACATCACTCCTTCTGAAAGCACAGGGCCATGGCAAAGGAGAACAGGACTTTTCTGATTCAATGCATTCTCCTGGGCTAAACAGAGCATCCCAGCTGTCACATGCTCCTGTCTGTCATTATCTGCTCCATGTCTCTCCTGACCCTGGCCTCACCTTTGTCACAGCAGGGAGCAATCAGTACCTGTGGGTCTCAAGATGGTCCTTGTTGCCTGGTTACAGGCTGGGTACCAGGAATATCACTGTCAGTTTCTACTGGGATGAGGGGCCTCTTCTGGGGCTGGCCTGCGGGGATCCCGTCAGGCTTTATTCTGGGCTTTATGGTTCCTGTTGTCATCATCGTCCTTACACTGTGCTTTTCATGATAGTTTCCTACATCTGCATCACCTCCAGAGTTCTCTCTATTCCCTCTGCTTTCACTCACCAGAAGGCATTCTTCACCTGTCCCTGCCTTCTCAGCATCAATCCCTTTCTATCAGAGGCCAAGGCCAGATCCAAACATAGCTTACCAGGAAGCTCCATCCCTTGAATGCACTGGAACTTCAAGGATCTTGGCGGGCAGGAAGAGAGCAGGAGGTTGGGCCGTAGAGATGTACACCTTCAACACAGTAAAAGGAGGACCGTGCTATTGTGTAGAGATCCCTGGCTAGGGACCAGGACAGAACTATTCCTTATGGTTACACTGGGCTGTGGTGGGCTCAGAGAGACTGGGGGCTCCAATGTGTGGCCTTCTGTAACTGGTAGTAATAATTCCCTGTGGAAGCTCTCAAATACAGGCTGCTTGGAAAAGTATGACAGGGCCAGTAGCTCTGCTGGGCTGCTAGGAGCACACAGGGAAGCTGTACCCTCAGTGATGGGTGGGAGGAAGGGATGGGAAAATGGAATAGAGACAGAGGTCCAACCCCAAAGAAACCATGCCTTCCCACTTCTTGATGGCCTCTGAGGACACCTTTTTCTGAGTCTCCTTCCCAAATTCTGCTCCTCACAAAGCCAGTTGAATAGATTTCCCCAGAGTTTGTGGGACTACTGTCTTTGCTGGGCCTCCCCAATGCGCAGAGATCCTCTCCTGAGGATGCCATTTCTGGAGATCTCCATTCACTTGACATGCCCAAGGTTCAAGGAGACCGGTGTAAGGAGAAACACGGCTAGGCGGAGACTGATGGTCATTGGCAGTGGAGGAACGCTGAGGAATGTCTTCCCCTCCTGTGCATAGACCTCCATTAACTCAAGCAGTGAGGCAGTCTCCCTAGCTTGTTCTCACCAAAGACATCCCCTTCCCTTTTGTCCATCTCTACACTTATGGGGTAAAAAAAAAACACCAGCACCGAAGAGAACACTAAGGGATGCAGAAGCGTTTAATGAGTCTGAGGAGAGAAATATCACACAAAGAAGAGCTCTGTGTGTGTTGAGTAACAGGAGCAGACAAGAATCTGTTCTCCTTTTCTACAGCAGCATGGCCACAGAGTTCTCTCTCCCAGGCCAGAGTTTTTGAGCGATGAGCAGATCACTCAGGCAGCATTTTGGGGGTACTAACAGTGATCTCTAAAGTGAAAAGACAAGAATGATATCAGAGAGAAAGAGAGAGTGAAAGAGACTATCGGTAGACATTCCTCATGTTAACAGAGATGCCATTATGGCCACAGCAGTCTGTCTTGCAAGGCAAAAACAGCACATTTCGTTTTCTGTCCAATGCCACGTTCAGCATTCCTGGGGGTCCTTGCCTGGGTCAGCATCCACACCTTTAGCAGGGGGGGCACCTTCTGCCACAGCTGCGGTTGGAAATGCAGGAGAGGTCAAAGCCCCCCGAGGTGATGGGCACGCCCTCAGAGCTGAGGATGCTGCCAACAGCAGCGGAGGTGGAGGAGCCCACGGCGGTGTTCTGCGGGAAGGAGCTGAGGATGGGTCCGGGCAGGGTCACCACCACGGGAGAGGGCTGGATGACGATGGTGGAGGGCTGGCACTGCCTGACACAGGGCTCATTGCAGCTGCTGGCCAGAGGGGTCGGGCCGCAGGGCCGGCATGGCACACACTGGTCACAGCAGGACATGTCTCAGGGATGGAGGTGCACCTGTTTGGGGAGAGCAGGGAGGAAGCAGAACATGGGGATGCGTGAGGAGCAGCCTAGCATCACACTATAAGGAATCAATACTCAGGCAGATCTTGGAGCTAAAGACAGTTCAGGGATGTCCAAGGGATTCTTGGTCTCATCCTGACAGAGCCCAATGAAAGCCACTGGGACCTATCCAAATACTGCCCAGACCCTAGTCCACAAGACATCTGATTACAGCAGGCTATGATATTCTCCCCACTTCTCCATCATGACAAGCAGAAACAGGCATGGAACAGAACTAATAGCAGCTGTGAGTTCTGCTGAGCTCAGAGCTCTGTTTGGAGAATGAAGAGAACAGAACAAGACGTGGCTTCACACTCACCTGGTTCCCAAGAAGATGGAGGAGAGAGAAGTGGATGAGAGAGCAAGGAGCTGGGCTGGCTTTTATAGTAGACCCAAGCTGCCCCATTTCCAGAGGCATCCCTAGAAGCAGTGATTATTTTATGACAAGAACCTCTTGAATGCAAAACATCCCAGCTATTGGTATGGGCTGTGTGTTAGTTTTGCTACTTCTCACATCCTGATTTATGTCACTCCCATTGCTCATGAAAGGCATCTGATGAGTGGCAGGAAGAAAAAACCAAGCATTTCCAGGCAGCGCACATCAGTGTGGGCAGAACACTCAGCTCACGTGTTGGAAGAATCCAGAAAAGTCAGAAGATATCAGCATGCTTATTAGGACATTGGTGAGAAATAACCAGAGCCTGTGTGCTGGATTTATGCAGCTGCCTGTGGGTACAGAGGTTTGCATGATTCCACACGTGTGTTCATCAGCAGCTGAGTGTTTGTGTGACTTGTGCATCCTGCATAGAAACGCCTGTCCTGGTCACATCAGGGGCACTTCAGGATTCCAATAGATATTGTTAATCTGTGTCTTCCTACTAACAGAGCTAATGGAGAGGAGAGGAACTGGAAGGCACTTGCAAATATCATCAAGTTCAATAGTCTGACCCCAGTAGCACTAACCACAAGGAAAAGCATGTTCATAAAAGCATTATCACAATGTCTCTCAACCCTGACAGGCATGGGGCATCATCCACCTCTCCATGAAGCCTGATCCAGTGTTTGACCACTTTCACATATATCTATTTTTTCCTCATGATACAAGTTCTATCAATACTGTTCAACTTGCCAATGCTCCTTGATGGAGACTCTGGAGTCTGTTCGGAAAACATGAAGAATCTGAGTCCTTGTACAAAGTAGATTACAGTGATTGTCTGCATATCAGTTCACAATCCCTTGCAACTCTTCCATGCATTTCTGCTTTCAGACAGCAGTGACTTTAGCCAAGATCTGCCCTAAGATCTTGAACAGAGTAAATATGGGAAGTTCCACTTTGATTCAGATAATATTATGAAATCAAGTACTGTGTTATCAAGGCAATGAGCTAATTGAGCATTGGTGAACATCCTTGAACATCCTTCTTCCTTTGTGGAGCCCAGAACAGCCAAATAGATACCAGGCAAAGACACGCCAAGACTAACTGCAGTGGGAGAAATTCCTTTTTTGAATAGTTGTCTGTGGAGTGTGTAATGCATTCTAAAATGCAGTTGGATGGACCACAGGGCACAATGTTGGCTCTTCTTGAGTCTGATGTCAGCCAGCACACCCAGATCCCTTCAGGATGTCTGTGCTTCTCAGGTGCTCGGCTGCACTTCAAAAGGGTCCCCAGTCTAAGACTAGAGCCTCAACAGTACAAAGCAAGGAAGGAACATCCTGGAAGAAGAACAACACTCTTGCTTCAGTCACACACATGGAGCTTCAGAAGAGGCACAGCCCTCTGGACACTGGGGAGAATGTATTAGATCCATTGAAGGGGCTCATCAGAAGAGGCTGAACTCAAGTATTGTGACTGGAGGAAGGAGAAAAGTTGTGTGAGACTTAAAGGACACACCTCCCTTTGGTAGTGGATTCTCCAATTTGCTGAAGTCTCAGCTGTTTGATAGAAGGAATGGCAACTCCAGTGCTGCAGAAGGACTCTAAAAGTTTGTCTGCATATCAGTGCACAATCCCTTGCAACTCTTCCATGCACTTCTGCTTCCAGACAGCAGTGACTTTAGCCACTCCAATAAAAGCTGGATGAGCAGTATAATTGGACAGGAGGAACTCTAGTGATTTCTGAATTCAAAAAGGGGCAGTCTAAGTGTGAGCAAACCAGAGACATTGCTGCCCAAGCAGAGATACAGTCAGAAGCACCACAGGGCAGCCTGAGATGAAAACTTTCTGGGAAGAACACTGAAAAAAGCATCCTTAATTCTCCTGGAGCAGCAAAAAGGAAGCTAAGGAAATTGTATGTCCACTGGACCGTGAGATGCCAGAAATAGGGAGAAGTGAATGTGTAATATAATGAATGCTTCTTTTTCATCCATTTTCATGATAATTCTTT